CAGAGAAAGGGGAATGAATTCACCGTCTAAGGTGGGCTGGGTCCCCCGGGTCCTGACCTAAGTGGGGTTCTGAGCCATGAGGTGGGAATGAAGGAGAGCCACAGACCCTGGGCTGGTTGAGGGAGCCAGGGCGTGGTCTTTGGGCCTGTGAAATGACCCAGCGGGTGAAGGTACTGACAAATCTAGGGAAGTGAGTTTGATCCCCAGGTCCCTCACAGTGTAAGGAGAGAAACAACTCCCAAGATTTGTCTTCTGATCTCCACACCACTTGCACTATGGCATGTGTGTGCATGCGCACACGTGCATACACACACACACACACACACACACACACACACACACAAATAAGTAAAAGTAAAAAAAAAGAAGAGAAGAAGAAGAAGAAGAAGAAGAAGAAGAAGAAGAAGAAGAAGAAGAAGAAGAAGAAGAAGAAGAAGAAGAAGAAGAAGAAGAAGCCGCCTTCCACTAGGGTTGCAGGTGAGCTGCTGGGTGTCCCCAGCTCCACCCTAGATGCCACTGCTGCTGCTGCTGCTGCTGCTATGGAAGCTAACAAGGCCCTAGGGAACTTGTGGCCACCCTGCCTGGCCCTAGGGCTCCTGTGGGCCTCAGCTCCCAGCTCTAGAGGCTAACCCTCCTGCAAGATGGATGCCTTTCCCACCCAACTTCCTCAAGACCGCTCCCAGCATCTGCCCTGAGGCAGCCCTGATTCCCAAGTGGAGCCCATGCACCTACCCAGGGCCCAGAGCAGTTCTCCCACCTATCCAGAGCAGGACCTACAGCCCAAGTGGCACGTTGCCCTGGGCCCAGGTGGGAGAATTCATTAATTTCCTCAGCAAAAGCTCACAGCTGTTTGTTTAATTGCTACAATGAAAAGGTTTCCATGCAATCCAACACCCGCCCTCCCCACAGAGAGAGAGGAGAGACTCCTTCCTGGACCCAGCAGGCTCAGAGGGAATCAAAGCTGAAGTCTTTCGGGGTTTAAGAGCTGGGGCTCCCTGGGCAGAAGCCTCCTCACCTCCACTCATGAGCACCCCTGTGCACACGCACACTGGTATGCACGGGTTCCAGGAGAAGGCATGCCCATCCTCCTACCCACACGGTCCCCGGGTGCTCTTCACTGCCCAGGCACAGGTGCGCCTCACTGTTCCTTGGCTCTGCAGGAGTTCACTTGTGGGATGTGTGTCTGGTAATGGCAGACTCAGTCTGAACGGCCACATGCGCCAGCAGGGTGTTTTTCAAAGTCTTTTATCGTGGACAGAAACTGTTTGTCAAGTAAAGCCTTAAAAGCACTTGCCAAGTATACAGTAAGTCTGGGCACTGAAGAAGGGTGGGAAACCAAAGAGCCTGGGCCACTTGGCCTCCCCTCCTTCCCCGCCACCCACTCCTCCTTGCCAGCCCGAGAGAAGATGGCTGGAGTCTGATTCCGTCATTGCTTCTGAGAGCTGCCGCCTACCAGGGGCTGTGGGGCCAGGCATGCCTGTGCCTTCTCAAGGATGGGAGGGTTGAGGGTGTTTCCTCAGATGGCCTATGACTATGACCATTGGGGCAGTACCGCTGACTCCCACCCTTCCATCCCCTGTGGCCCTTCTTCCAGCCCAGAGTGCAGATTTGTTTGTATGCTTTTGAGGTTTGTGGCGCTCTCTGCTGAACGTCCTAGCTTCCTAACTGTGGTGTTACCCCCACACCCAGGACTACTTTAGAGTGAGGGAAGAGGGTACCAGGTGCTCCCCCAAGGTTCCCAACCTAACTGATACTTCTAAAAGGGCCTCGCGGCGCTCTAGGTGAATGGAGAAAGTGGGAAGAAGAACCATGGCAGAGGCAGCCCCAGGAAAAGGCAATGGTTCCCAAGGACCCTTTCAGAATCCTTGCTGTCAGAACGATCTTGTTCCCACGGCCATCCCTGCCCCTTCACCCTGAGGGAATGAATGACTTCAGAACCTGGGCCATGCCAGGCAAAGGAGAAGGGACGTACACTGCTCTCTGCCACCGGCCATCCTGCCTGGCGGGGCACCTGACAACCATACTACTTCCAGGCTCCAGCTGGGCTCCTTCCTTGCATCCCAGCACCTCTTAACTGCTCAGCCTTCCCAGAAGAGGCCCCCAGCGGCCCAGCCACTCTGAAAGCTCTCTGTTTGGCCCCACTCAGCCTGTGAGCATTGCCAGGCTTGCCCACGGGAGGCCTCTGCAGGCCTCTGTTGGAGCAAAGCAGAGGTAACTATGCCAAGCAAGGACCAGGGAGACCCAGCTGCCAAGTGCTTGAGGAAAGCCTGGTGGTTTTCTATGGTGGCTTGTGCCAAGAGCTTTAGAGGTCAGGGACCCCCCCACACACACACACCATCTGGGATGCTAAGAGTCTGCAGGAGTGCTATCATGAGCCCCAAGTGCGGCTCCTGAGAAGACATCATAATGCCCCAAAGATGAGACAGTGAGCATTTGAATGCAAGTGTCACTCTGTGTCAACCCTGGGGTTGGCACAGCCAGGGACCCTCCCACCGAGGCTGACTGGTACATTGCTTCCTAGTGCTCTGGAGGGAGGAACACCTGCTTGAACTCCTCAGGGATGAACAAGGGTTCATGTCACTGGTGCCCTATATTCTCCTGGCTTGGATCAAGGACAGGCAGGCAGATATCCATTTCAATGAGACATTAATGCACCAGGTCCAGAATGGGGTAAACAGGGTACCTAGCTACTATGGCATCCTGAGCATGAGGAGAAGAACGTTGTGAACAGCCCTGGCCACCATGACCTGCAGCAGCCGAGACTCCCCAGCAAGATGGCCGACGTGAGGTCTGTCAACAAAGACCTAGATGAAAAGGCCTTCTTCTGAGACAGACACTCCGCTTCTTTCTAGTTTTAGGGAAAGGACCACCCACACCCTGTGGTTGAGGGAGTTGAGCTGAGACATTCTGGGGATTCAGTTTCCAGCCTTCTAACAATCCCTAGATCTGTGGGGGACTTCCTCGAGCAAGGAAAGTCAAGAGGAGCCAGAGAAGACAGGATTGGATCTTTTCGTCTAAGATCTTTCCCAGAACTAAGTCTCTTCAGGGCAGGCATCAGTACCTTGTATTTACTTCTCAGGCTCTCTGGCCTCCTGTGTTTACGAAGCTTTTATGACAGATAAACTAACTTGGAGAGGCCTTATGGAAGCAGAGGCAGAAAGGAAGTGAACCCCCAGGCCAGGCGAGAGGCTTGCAAGCCCAGATCATTTTGTTATTAAATGAGAATGCAATGCAGAGCTGAATGCTGTAACTGAACTGGAGGCTCAGAGGGAATGCAGACGGTCTGATGTCCAGCCTTGGCCTCTTCCCTTGGGAATTAGGTCCTCATACTAAACTTCCATGATTGAGGAAGTGGGTTCACAGCCCCTAAGTCTCAGACCCTAATCAAGCTGGGAGTTCCGAATCTTAAGGAACTCGGGGCAACCTGGGCCCAGCTCTACCCACCCCTTCCCCTGGGGGTGGGAGTTGCATCAGGCTAGCTTTGCAAGTTGCCTAGGTGGGAAGAACAGAACTGCATATTACTAACGCCCTGTCCCTGCCTCTGTCCTGAGTAATGGCTAAGAAACACCACCATTTCCCAGTCTTTCTGCTTGTTTTGGTTTTCGGATACAGGGTCTCACTATGCAGCCCTGGCTGCTCTGGGACATGAAGTAGACCAAGCTGACCTTAAACTCGCGGCAATCCTCCTGCCTCTGCCTCCCCAGTGCTGAGACTACAGGCATGCACCACCACTTCTGGGTCCCAGTCTTCTTTTCGGTCACTGCCCAGCCCAAAGCTGTCTGACCCACAGGTTTCTCTGACTGGCAGAAAGCAGGGGACCCATGTTCTGTGCAGAACCTCAAGTCCTTCCTGTGGTCCCCTCCTTCCTCCACGGTGAGACGGTAGGCCCTAGCACCAAAATACAGGAGAGCGCTTTTCAGCACCTGGACAAGGTCCTTTCCGGCTTTCCGGTAGGGTCTTCGCCACTCCTGGCTCTGGAGCCAGGGCCGGGAACCGAGGCATCCCTAGATTCTGTCCACTCTAAGCAAACAGAGACCTCGTTCACCAGGAAGTGAGAGGGCACTGGGTGGGGCTGGGATGCCTGAGAGTGCCACACAGCTTGTTCCCCGATCCTGTGTGGGCCCCCTCCCCACGCAGGCCTTTCTTCTCTCTGCACAGTCACACGGGGATGTCGCGCCTAGACCTAGCGGGGTGGACTCTCCCACCACATGGAGCACAGACAGAACCGACAGCCCCTCCCTGCAGCCCCTTAAAGCCCCGACGGAGGAGGGCACAGGGTCCCTCCACACCGGTCTCGGAGGGCCCGGAACACGTGTGGACCACCGGTCCTGGAACCAGCGGAGCAGGCGGGGGCCGCTCCCATCACCCTCTTTAGGTCAACAAGCACAAAAGCCGCGGCTGCAAACAAAGAAGCGCTGCAAACTCGCCGGGGAGGCGGGACAGGCGGCGCCGCGCCCCCTCCCCACGCCGCGCGGGCGTGCCGGGCCATGGTCCCCGACGGCGCTCCTACCTGGCCGGCGCGGACCTCCTTCTCCAGCTCGCGGTGGCGGTTGTGCCACACGAGGTAGTGCAGCGGGTACTTGC